TTTAATAATAATAGTAAACTATTAATTATTTATAAAATATAGAATTTAAATAATACAATTACAATTTATTTTTTATATAATACTGATCACTAATAATTTTCAGAAAAGTTTAACATCTTTTTCTAAAATTTTATAGAATTTTTTGGTTAAATTATATTACTTATTAGTGAAATTTTAACAATTACCTATAAAACAATTTAATATGGTATTTTATAAGCAAAAATATATGCAATACAATTATCATCTTTTAAAATTGTATTTTAATAATGTAATAAAATTTCGGTTAATAAATTTCAAAATCTATTATAATATCTCAAAATTATCAAATAATTAATATAGAAAATTAGAAGAAAAAGAAAAATTAAAAGTTAAAATAAAATAAAATTACTAATAATTCAAACATATTTATTTACATAGTTTTTTTATATATTGATATTGAAATAAAATATATATTAAGATAAAATATACTGAATATTTTATTTAATATATGTATATACTGATATAGAAATTATACAAGATATGTACATATTTACAAAATGTTAATATATTCATAAATATTCGTAAATATATTCTTTGAAAGAATAATTATAGATTGAAACAAACACAAAAATTGGTATAATATAGATAGACGCTTATCTATTAAATATCTATTAAATAATATTAAATAATTATCTATTAAATAATAAACAATTCAAGTTTGTATTAAATGAAGTGAAACAGAGACAAAGTAAATTGTGATGGAAATAGAATCATTTTTATGTTCAATAGTATCATAAATATATATATATATATTAACATTATAAATGCTTTTGCATCTTTCAGAAATTTTTAAAATTTTGTTTTTTCCCGAATTAAATAATTATTTTTTAAAAATATCATATTTTTATTTATTACTTTAAATAAATAATAATAAAAATTAAAATAATAAAAATTCATATAACAAAGAAATATATGATATTTAATATTTTTAGTATATATTTACTTTTAATATTAAACTATTTTTTCACTAAACTTTTTTATTTTTATAAAATAAGATAATAAAAAAATATATAATATTTATGTACTTAAATGAATCCAAATTTTAATTAGTAAATAAATTTTTTTTTATAAAAATATTTCTTTAATAATCTATACAAAATGAATTCTGAATGGTATTAAAAAAAAATTAAAAAAATAAGAAAACATTATAACATTATATAATTATTAACAAAAAATATATTTATATTAATTTTATATTTATATTAATTAATATATCATACATAAAAATAATGATAATTTTATTTTTATATCTCTATATTTAATATGATATATTTATATTTAAATTAATTATTTTCAATTTAATTAGATCTCTTTAACTTTTTTTTAAAATAATACAATTATATAAAAAAAAAGATTTTTATTTGATTATTTTCATTTGTTTATTAAAATATATTTGAAATTCTTGCATTTGAATATGTACATAGAACTAACATTTAAGAGCCTGTCTTATATTCTTCCATGTAATGTAACATCTGTGTGTGTGTGTGTGTGAGTGTATATGCGCGCGCGCGCGCATGTTTGTATATTTAAAAAATGCAGATTAGTGATGCGCATATGATCTTTCTTTGTTTTATATTTTCATATTTATTCATATAGTTTTTAAAAGTTCAATAATTTTTAACATAGAAAAGTTAATTTAATCTTTTACGTAATAAATAAATTTCTGATATAATAATAAAACGGTTTAAAACATAATTTTTCAAATAATAAACAAAATTATATTTTATAAAATTAATATTAAATATTTTAAAAACATTCATATATAAATAGAGTATTAATATTTAAAAAATTTTTTATTATAACATATTAAACAGGTACAATTTTAGAAGCCAAAAAAATAAAAATTAGTATACAAAAATCGGTTAAGGCTTATTTATTAAGTTATAATCTCTTATTATAATCTATTATATAATCTCTTATATAATCTATTTATTAAGTTACATAAGTTAGAGGGAATAAAATGAAATTAGAACATAAAGATAATAACAATTTCACTTTATCTTACTTTGTTTAATGTAAAGTTTAATTAATATTTAATAATTAAGTCTTAATTAATATTTTTGTATATCAATTTTTGTATTTTTGTATTTGTTTTGCCTTTTAAACAACTTCCAAAAAACAACTTCCATGAACGCATTAAAAATTCTTCATATATTTTAATTATTAACGATTTATAAAACTTAAATCTTTTAAATTACTAATAAAATCATTTATAAATAAAAATAATACAAAATTGAATAATAAAATTAAAATATATTATCAATATTGTAATTAATTGTTAGTAATGCATAATAATATATTATACTAATTTTTTTTAAATATTAAATCTTTAAAATTTGATGATTGCTACATTTTAAGTGAAAATGAAGTGTGAACGTGAGTATCATTTATATATTGATACGTTGAAGAAAGTTCGAGGTTATTCGATGAAATTACGAAAGATAGTGAATTCTATGTATACTTATTGTATTTTTTTTTCTTATTCAATAGTTTTATCCGATTAACAAGATTATCTTTATCATAATTCATTAATTATTAATTTTATTAATTATTATCATAATATGTAAAAATTTTTGCATTAAAAAAGAACACACGCAATAATTTTTTTAAAATTGAAAATTAAATTAAAAAAATAAACATTAGAAATAATGCATAATATTGTATATAATGTATGTTATTATATAATATTGTGTAATACATGTTACATACATAAATATATCTATATATGTATGTTATATATATTAATATATAAAATATATATAAAAATATCTTATATTATTCGTGTATCTATTTTTAATATGCAATATATATAATATTTCAAAATAATTAGTAATGAATAATAATAAACAATAAATTTTTAATTTTTGAAAAAGTTTTATTTAAATTTGTGTAAAAAAAATTATTTATGCAAAGTAATGAATAATCTATAATCATCATTTTTCTTTCATGATAGATTGTAAAAGAATTATGGTAATGACTATTTTTTTCTATAATCAATTTATATTTTATTGTTAGATTTGAGTTTATTATATACTACACCTATATAATACATATATATATATAGTAAATTTCAATTACACATTTGAAATATACATTTTCAATATGTATTTTTTGCTATATAGAGAGAAAAGAATACGAATAAGAGATTGAAATACAAGATAGTAAGGCTTTGATCTATATATACTATTCTGATACTTTATTTTTATGTATATATAATTTACAAAATGAAAAAATAATTTTATATTTTTAACATACTTTATAAAATTTTTAAAAATTCGTTATAAAAATATTATGTGAATTATTTTATTGTATTTTAAAATAAATAAATTAAATATTACAAATAAATAAATATTTATCATTCATTACAATTCAAAAAAATATATAAAAATTAAATTTAATTTTAATTTAATATAATTTTATAACAAATTTTATAAAAATTAAAAAACTTTTTCAATGATATCAAATGTAATAAATAAACATTGTATTGAATTAATATNACAAAATATATAAAATTTTAAATAATAAATTTAAATGATTATATATAATTTTTTTATATTGATTTTTAATGATCTGAAAGAATAGAATTTTTATCGAATTATATATTCATAATCAATGTTTAATATTTTTCAATAATAAGTAAAAAATATTATAGTAATAAAAATTTCAAATATATAATATCGTATATTATATCATATATAATAATTATTTATCAATTATTTATTATTAAGAAGAAATTAAAACAAATCATTTTTTTCGTTTCTCGTTTCAACTTTTAATGAAGATTTTAAATTTTTTTTATTTATTTATAATAAATATAAAATTATATCACATTCTGAGATATAATCATTTTTAATTACAGTAATATAACATAATAACATAATATAACATAACATAGTTATATTAATATAAAATAACATAGTTATATTAAATATAGTAATTAAGAAAATAATATTGATCAACACGTATCTGATTTTGTAATCTTTAATATTTCTTTTTATAAATTTTAATGTATTGAATATAAATCTACAAATTTCCTTTTTACCAGAATCCATAATTTTTAAAAAAATTAAAATAAAAAAATTGAAATTTGAAAGTGTTCCATAAATATTTTTATAATAATAATTATTCAGTTTTTTTTTTTTTGATACAAAATGATTCTATGAATCTCCAGTAAAATTCTCCAACAAAATGATAGAAATAATTATTAATTTATCAACATCATGATCAAAATTAATTGAAAATGTGATAGAGCAATCTTTTTAGAAGAAATAAGGAACGTTACAACATTACTTTTATTTTCAATATAAAAACGAAATAGCTTTCTAAAAATGCGTAGCAATAATAGTCAATGATTTTCATATTATAATATGCTATATTATATGCCATAGACGAAGTGTTATTGAATATTATCATCGCATATTTACTGTACATATAATATAAAATATAATAGACAACGAAAAAGAATTGTAGATCAATTTTTCTCTCAACTCATTATAAAAAAAAGATTTGTTCTTAAAATAATAATCTTAAAATAAATCTTGAAAAAATTCTTTAAAATCTAAAAATGTTTGAATTTGTAAAATTTTAAAAGAAAAGAAAAAACTTCAATTTTCATTCTGTTTTACAACAAAAAGTGATTTTGTAAAAATGAAAAAGTAAAAAGTAAAATAGGAGTTTTATGCTTTAAAATAAATCCATGTGCAGTATGTATTATATAATTTCTTTCTCAACAAAACTCTCAACAAAACAACAGTAGTCAAATATTTCGACAATTTTTAAATCGAAATTTGATCATCTTTTAATTTTTTGACAATGATTATTAATATATTAAAATATATCTATGTTATAATATTTAAAAATATTTCTTTACGTTATTAAATAAAGTCTACAAATACATATAAAAAAGTCTAAAAAATATACAAATATAACTAAAATGAGGAGAATAGTAATAATTACAAATATCTTATAAAAGACTTTTTATTATAAACGCATCATTACAAAATAATTGCAGTATATACAGTGTGATATGACTAGTTACATAGCAAATAGTGTAAAAAGATAAATTTTTTTTTTATAAGCAAATGATATCAATATAATTCTATTAAACATTGAGCAATGCATAACTTAAATGACTTCAAAAATAATTTAAAAATTTTTTATAAAACATTAAAAATTGTTATAAAACATTATTACAAATACAATCAAATATTTTATGCTACAATATAAATAAAGCAAATAAAATGCAAAAATCAATGAAAGCTAAAACTCTGTTTTATGAAATTAACAAATTTCTTATATCGTTAAAATAATTTTTCTTTTGTTTGAAATAGCGAACAATTATAAATTGTAAAGTAATAAACAATCAATAATAATTGCTAAAAATCTCTAAGGATGAAAAGCCACTGGAGCAATCTTTACGGCAGGTTTAATAATAGCCAAAGGTTCTCTGTGGACAACTGCATTGAATCCATTCACAGGATCCGCCGTATACTCGACAATCCTTCTAGTGCCATCAGCTTCAATGAAACTATAACTACCGCTCACTATATCGCCATTTCTGGTTTCTTGCTGGGATTTGGAATCGCCTGTTAAATTATCTTGAACATCGTAAGAATAAGTATACTGCGGATGAGGATCATAATTAAATTCTGAATTCACGGATGCGAATTTGGCCACTGGTACTGCTGGTAAAGAAACTGCAGATCCTTTGCATGTTGCAATCATACCAATCGCCAACACAAAAATAATTTGCTAAAAAATAATAGAGAAATATTAAAAATATAAAATTTAAAAATGACAATTATGTATTTGATATTTGACATTTGGAACTTTAATATTCTATTTTGTAATTAATATCTTTTATATAATATTTTTAATAAAAATATTTTTTTATAAATTATATATCTAATTTACAAAATATTTTTT